TTTTACCAAAAGAATTTTTGTTTTTAATTTTTTTTTTTTTTTTTTTTTTTTTTTTCCCCCCCCCCCCCCCCCCCCAAATAGATCCTGCAGCTAATTGCTCCGCTTTGCGTGGCAGGATACTCTGGAGAGCAAATCTATCTTCTGCTATCGTGCGCCCCGATCAAAGGCTCCATCGCGGGCATTGTAGACGTTCCGAATGTCTGCACAACATTAGGGATTCCCATGGACATATTCGACTTTGACATTTCCGTCGAAGCCGTGCCGAGGAAGCGAGACCTTGGATCTTGCCCCATTTCAAGCGTGTAATTTAGCTGCATACTAGTACCAGAGAGGAAGCTGTATATTGATGTCTGCTGCTGTTGATACCTTGATCCTTTGTACCGCATACAAAATGAAGTAGCATTGCTAATATTGATGGCCCTGGATCTCAGCTTTGCATCGTGTCAAAACAAGGCTAGTGACGGTTCAGCTCAACTACGGAGTACGCCTGCTTATGTGCTTGAGCCTCGTCTAGGCCGCACATATGATTCCTTTGCAGGCGATGGAGCCGATTAAGTCAGCCATGCACAAGTATCCCGGACGGAATGATTACATGTAATTACTGTATTCTTGGCAAACCACATCGGCCTCTCATTGGTGTAGAATCTCCTCGCGGAGCTGGTTGTCAGAAGCTAAACGTTCCCGAGCCCCCAACCGCGCAACGCTCTATGACATTGCCCAACGCTCATTCAATGGTTCATTCCTTAGTCCTTGGATCTTGTCAAGCTGCAGTTTAGTGCAGTTACCAAAGTCCTATGTTGGATTAGATTTTGTTCAAGGTGTGGGGGAATATTGCTTTCAGCTGTTAAGCATAGTATTCAACCTTCCCCATATTTTACCCCAGACTTTGAGGAGTTCCGGCATGATGGAAAATATCCGCCAATCATACGATGGAAGCATTTGTCCGCCAATAAGATGACGGCTTCCTGTCAGCATGAAGTCGCGTTAGGAAGGAGATCTCCTTTTATTTCAGCAGATATAATGAGGGATACCCCTTGCGAGAAAGTGAATCTGAGGAGTAGGCACAACATCAATTGATCTTGTGTTTCATTGCTAAGAGGCTGCTGCTCTCCCTAGCTGCTTTGAATCAGAGCTCTGGCAGTTGATACCCCGGCAACATGAAGCTCAATTCTTTGGTGGGCTTCGTCGCTGCGACGGCTGGTGTTGCGCAAGCCGCTTCTTCGGACGACTCACTCGCGCTCTTTGCTAAGAGGAGGACGGCGGACTTGTCGCAATTCCCTGACCCGACGTGGTTTGCCAAAATTGATACGTGGCTGTCTTCTCAAAAGGCGGATGGCACTTGGTCGGACGTAAACTATCTGTCGGGATGTCCTGCGCGTAAGTGACCGACCGCGCTGCGTCTTTGCTGGGAGCCGGCGAATAGACGCCCATATGACTTTTTGGGGAACAGTGCTAACGGGTTTACTTTTGAAGAACGTGCCAATTGGCCGATACAGGAGCATTGGAATAGGCTGATTACTCTTGGTGCTGCGTGGAGCGGTGTTAACCCTGCTGTGTCGAGTACATGGGCCAAGGATCCCAAGCTTCTTGCTGCGGTGCAGAAGGGTCTGGATTATTGGTTTAGCAATGACTATACACCGGCCGACTGTATGGGAGATGGAGGGAACGCGTACGTATTGCGAGAGGTTAATTTGATTGTTGCTGGGCAACTATGCTAATGATGAACCTAGGTCAAAGGGATGTCCTTGCGATACGCCGGGCCTGTGGAACACCGTATGCTTCCATCACCATTAAAATTGGCAATTTGGAATGATTTGCTGACAAAGGCAATAGAATTGGTATGATCAGGCCATTCTGATTCCTCAACTATGCTCGACGGCGTGTCTTCTCGTCAAGGATGCAAATCTCACAGAGACTCAGCGAGCTGGCTGTGAGCGCATCCCGAACCGAGCGTACGCTCTCCGGGATGGCACTTACGGTACTGGAGGCCGCATGACTGGAGCCAATGTGAGTTTAATCTCGAGACCTCTTCGCTGACATGTACGTTATGCTGATCGCTTGTCATCTAGATGGTCTTGGTTATGCAAAACTCGGTCACTTTGGCTCTTTTCACGGATAACAGCACAATCTTGTCGGATGCTATGACTAGAGCCTTGTCTGTGATGACTGTGAGTAGCCTTACTTGTGACGTGGGATATCGGAATCGAGCTAACTGACAGGCAGTTCGTTGATACCCCCGGAGATGACGGTATCCATCGAGATGGCACGTTCCTTCAGCACGACGGTCTCTTGTACAACGGCAACTATGGTAAAGATTTGGTAGGATACACCTTATTCCAAACATCCAGGCATTATGCTTTGTGCTAACATGATATGTAGTTGAATGCTTTCATTCAACTCGAAGGCGAGGCCATTGGTACTTCATTCGCTGCAGACGACAGTACTCGAGAGGCCATGTCCACTTACATCAAAGGCGACGAGTGGATGATTTACACAGACTCTGACACAAAAACCGAGCACTGGGACTTTGTAAGTATTCTTTCTTCACAGTCTGAAATTAGAAGCTAACTCCTGTTCTTTGTAGAATGCCATCGGTCGTTTTGTTTCTTTTCCTACCGTTGACCTTCAGGCCAGCGCAGATATCAACTTCAACGTCTCAAAGCTTGCCAATGCAGTGGCTGATTTTACGGGATCGTACGCCGTCAACGATACAATCCGCAGACTTCTGTCCAACGGAACCGAGAAGCTCACGGGCAACAAGGGCTTCTGGGCAAGCGACTACATGGTTCACCGCCGGCCTGGCTTCGTCCTTACAAACAAGATGATTTCAACCAGGTCATCCAACTCCGAGAGTGTGAATGGAGCCAATCCATATGCATACCACATGGGCCAGGGCACTCTGTATTCCTACGTCAAGGGTAATGAGTACAAGGACATCATGGCACAGTGGGACTGGAATCTTGTGCCTGGAACGACTACTCTGCTCAATCAGCCCAAGCTCCAGGCCAGTCAGGTAAAGTACGATGGCCTGAAGGACTTTGTTGGCGTCGTGAGCGACGGCAAGTTTGGCGCTGCTGTTGAGGACTATCTCGACCCCTTGACTCAGAATCTATCTTACCGCAAGTCTTGGTTCTTTGTCGATGAGGGCGTCATTGTCATCACCACCGACATTAAGAAGAATTCCACTGTTGGAAACACTCCCGTCATAACCGTGCTGGACAACCGCGCAGCAGAGCCAACAAAGCCATTGCTCAAGAACGGCCCCCTCTCAAAGCTCGGCGAACAACACTCCACCTCAGATACTCTGTACTACGCGAACAATGGCTATCTCTCCTACGACACCCCCTTCGAGCTCACCATCTCTCTGGGCAAGCGAAGCGGCAACTGGTCCGAGATTTCGACCTCGAACCAGGGCGTCAAGACCGCCGACATCTTCTCTGCGTATACTACAATCAAGGGCAGCCAATTCACATATGGCTACTTCCCGGGCATTTCATCCCAGAAACTCAACAAGGAACTCGAGAAGCCCACCTGGAACCCCATCACCAAGAAGGGCATCTCGGGCATCTACGGCAAGGACAGGGCGAGCCTGGCCTTTTGGCCCGGCGGCGACAAGTCTGTTGCGCTCGACCTGAAGGCGCTCGGATGGTCCAAGGCCGGCACGCTGACTTTTACGTCTGACCAGCCGGCGGTGTATCTCATCAGTGCGCAGTGCAAGGACAAGAAGAGCATGCGTCTGGTTGTTACCCTGGCGGATCCTACTCAGAAACTCACCGTGGCTTCGTACTCGATTAAGATCTCGGGACAGGGCCACAAGGTGAGGGAGATGGGAAAGAAGAGCGAAGGGCTTGAGAGGAGAGGCGATGGCGGCATTGGATTTGGTGTGAGGCTGCCAACTGGAGGACTTGCTGGATCCTCTGTTAGCCGCGAAGTTCTCTTGGAGTTGGACTAGAAAGAGGTTCGTGTGCTAATAATGGGGTTGATGAGGATATTTATACGAGAGACGCATTGATTTGGTTGGTTAGGTAATAATTCCTCTAATGCAAGATATAATAGAGCCCATGGCGGGCGGCATTCATGTAAGCGGCCAACCTGGACAAGTTCGACGAACGAAATTCCACCAATAAGTACCTTCTGTTGATGCGAGAAGGGACATGGAAACCAGATTCGACATGGATGTATATACCGCCATTCAGTCCAGTCAACAAAGCACTCATCATTCTTCTGCATTGGACCTTTCTTAGTCGCCACGTTCACCAGATGTAATCAGACCATGTCCTTTCTCCATAACGGCTGTGTTCGTGAAACGCCACGGTGGACGGAGCACATCTGGTTACTTCAATACATGGACTTTAGCACATGGCATCTGATTGTATGATTCTGAAACCTGTCAGTGCATTACAATAAATTGTAGGTCATTGAATCGATTGCGTGATGCGCTAGGCTATCGAAGCGATGTTGGATCTACATCTCGCGGAATGCAGCACCGAGACGGGCCGTCAGCTCGTACAGGTACATTCGAGTATATAGAGAGCAGAGTGATGTTCGCTGTCTAATAATCAGAGACTCTCCTTGATACAGCCAGCATGGGGTGCTGTCGTGGGTTGAGCTGATTGCCAAAGAGGCTGGCCCGTATGACGGGTGGCGCTGTTTTCTCGCTCCGGAATCAAAGCTCAGAACCATCATGAGCTGATTGCTACGAGTACTCGTATTGACAGGGAGTTACATGAAATATGAAATGGATTCAAGACTGGCGGGTGGAGCAAGTCCGGATGCTTTTCACACCAATCCATCTCTCGAGTGCGGCCCATCGGTGTTGTTCTTGTTGTGTATCCACCACTCCAGATGTGAATTGCACTGCTGCTTGTATAGAATAGAGCGTCAAATGTCCAATTGGGCGAGACGCCATTGGTGGCTTGGACAAAAAATACCTGCGTCTAAAAACTCTATCGAATCGGCTTGAATCGCGGCCGAATCCGGTCACCAACAAACGGCCAAGTACACACCGGCTCAAGCCACCATTTCTATTTCCCACCGCCTCGTCCCGTTTCGATGACTCGTCTAATGCTACTTGAAGGAGTGCGGGCGTGTCAAGAGGCATCAACCATTAGAAAAAGAAGCTTGGAAGAGCTTGCCCCTGTCAGCTCTTGGCGGCAATCCCGGTGAGGGTAGCCTCGAGTTGGCAAGGCTTCGGTAACGCGAGTGAACCCTCGTCTAGCTGGCGGTTCGATGGAGCTAGTAGTACTCCGTACATAAGATGGGAAATGAAGACAAGAGGAAAAAAGGACACAGAGAATTACGGATAACTGAACCGGAGAGGAAGGCCGATGAGGAATCAGAGCGCACGGCTGTTCTGATCCATGTACTGCGCTCCGTGCTCCGTACTCCGAGCAGCTGTACAGTGAGATTCTGGACTTGTTCGGGCCCTGGCGATCTGCGCTGGGGCGGAATTATGCTCAGTTAGGCCCCCACGTCTTCTTCTTGTATGTACTGCCGTCCTCAGGTACTTGTGATGATGCCTGTTCTTTTGCGTTGCGCCGAGTGGCAGTTGTGAATCTGTACATGCTAGTCGACTTGATTGTATTAGTAGGTACTAATACTGTGATCTTATCTGGCTGACGCCAAGTTGCCTCTATTAAGCTGGTACTCATTCTTTGTGTCCCGCGAGTCTTCCCTCAGCATACCGGTACTCACTCAACTCACACACCAACTCCCGTTCTCCTAGCTTCAAGCACGGCCTGGCCGATGGCTCTCGCCTCCAACTCTCCGGCAAGCCACCGTGAGCGATGCCGATCCCGTCAATCAGGCCCTGCGAGCCCGTCCAACAGCCCTGTCGACTGCCCATAGCTTGTTCTGGAGGTGCCCCTGCGCGGCATCTCGATCGTGATTCGTGCAAAGCCCAATCACCAAAAGCTGCGAGATATTGCGCCATCGTCGCCATACAGCACTCATCCCCGTCCAGCTGCCTCTTAGCCTCTGCTTGTGCTGTAGTTTACGGGCAATGGTCCTTGATATTGTTGCAGCATACGATCCAAGCTCCGCGCGCCCTTTTGACAGAAAAGGTGGATGAGAAAAGGGAAAAATTGGCTTTCCGCCCGTGGAACCTCGGCGCGCGCGTCTCCGTTTTGAAGCAGCCTACGGAGGGAGTAGCGTGAGGGATCGAGAGGCTCGTAGCCGCAATGGTGATGGATTCCTAGCGTCATGTACAGTAGCATCAGCTTGGTACATGTAGCATCACCATGCTGAGGTCGTGTGCCAAGGTTGCATTGTAGAATGGAAGCCTTGGCCACGTACATAATGAAGGCCGTTCCGCGTTTTCTGCGACTGGGCGACCAGCCGAAGGATCTGCGTGTGCTACGACTCGTCCTTTTCTCTTCTCTTGTCTTTTTGGAAAAGTTGCGGGCGGCCATTGCATTGTGCCTCTGCTCTGCGCAGACCTGTCTCTTGATATAATTGTCTTCACGGTTCTTGTTTGCAATCGCTGCAATGGGTTCCCCGTCAGACGACGGCAAGGCGGCGCCGACCCGAGATGCCGTCGAGACTCGGAGCGTTTCCACTGGCAGCGAGGAAGATGTCATTCCCAAGGGTGCCCTCGATCCCGTATACGAGGCAAAGGCCAAAGTGCTGAACCACGCTGTAAGTCTCATCCTCGTTTCCCAATTGCAATTGCCTGCCACTTCCATTGCCGCTTGTATATGCAGCCAGACTAACGCATACCTCGACGCAGATTCAAGAAATTGGCATGGGATGGTATCAATGGCAGCTCTTCTTCGTTGTCGGCTTCGGTTGGGCTTCTGATAACCTTTGGCCAATCGTCACGTCCCTCATCTTCACGCCTGTCAACAACGAGTTCTCCCCCAACCGCCCGCCGCTCCTGACTCTGGCCCAAAACATTGGTCTCTTGGCTGGTGCCGTCTTCTGGGGCTTCGGATGCGACATCTTCGGTCGGAAAATCGCCTTCAACTTTACCCTCGGCTTGACTGCGCTCTGGGGAATGGTGGCCGCCGGTGCTCCCAACTTTGCAGCCATTGGCATCTTCGACTGCTTCTGGTCCTTTGGTGTTGGTGGCAATCTGCCCGTCGACTCGGCCATCTTTCTCGAATTCTTGCCCGCGACTCACCAATATCTGTTGACTATTCTGTCTGTTGACTGGGCAATTGCTCAAGTCGTTGCCAACTTGATTGCTTGGCCTCTTCTAGGTAACTTGACTTGCGCTCAGGACGAGAAGCCATGTCTCAAGCACAACAACATGGGCTGGCGTTACTTCCTCATTACCATGGGCGGAATCACGCTCCTCATGTTCTTGGCTCGATTCTTGCTCTTCTCCCTTTACGAGTCGCCCAAGTACCTCATGGGCAAGGGCCTAGATGAAGAGGCCGTCCGAGTGGTTCACGAGGTTGCCAAGCGCAATGGAAAGACGAGCCCGCTCACCATCGAAGACCTCAAGGCCTGCGAACCTGAAGGTTACGTATTCCAGGCAAATATTTCTACCGCCGTCAAGAGAACCCTGGTTCAGAAGATCGACACTACGCATGTCAAAGCCTTGTTCTCATCCTTCAAGCTCGGCTTGTCGACCACCCTCATCGCTGCTATTTGGGCTCTCATTGGTCTCGGTTTCCCTCTTTACAACGCCTTTCTGCCCTTCATCCAGGCCAACAAGGGCGTCGACTTTGGTGACGGAAGCACATATCTCACTTACCGCAACAGTCTGATCATTGCTGTGCTTGGTGTTCCCGGAGCTTTGATCGGAGGTCTGCTTGTCGAGCTCCCTCGGATTGGCCGCAAGGGAACGCTCGCTCTTTCTGCCGCTCTGACCGGCGTCTTTCTGTACTGCTCCACGACCGCCAAGAGCAGTGAATCGCTTCTTGGATGGAACTGTGCCTACAACTTCTGCAGCAACGTCATGTATGCCGTGCTCTATGGCTACACCCCTGAGATCTTCCCTACTCCCCAGCGCGGTACCGGCAACGCCATTGCCGCTACTGCTAACCGAATCTTCGGTATCATGGCTGTACGTATTATTACATCTCCTTGTCTCACTGCCAATCCTTGTGTGAACACGTCTAACTGCTTGGACACAATAGCCCATTATCGCCATGTTTGCCAACCTCGAGACATCCGCGCCCGTTTACACGAGTGGCGCCTTGTTTATCGCTGCCGGTATTCTAACTCTTTTCTTGCCATTCGAATCACGCGGAAAGGCAGCGCTGTAAGGGATCTAGAGAGTTGATTAATTAAACACGTTTGTATATAGAACAAAAAAGGACAGTGTGGTATTGGGAGCGAAGTTGGGAAAAGAGAAATGATAGTGTGATACCCAAGGTAGTTTCTATTCAATGGATAGTTACAATTCATTTGGCATAATTGCAGCAATGATGAAAAAGATTATGCTCGCGTTCGTTTGGTATTTCACTTATGTTGGATTGTTCCAAGTTATCAAAACCTCAAATCTACCTGGTAGTTGCGTAGATTGACGTAGATTTCACATAATGATCGCCGTCCAGCTGGCCATCAAGAACATCACACAATCCGATATGGTGTAGTGGCTAACATCGCTCGCTCTCAATCATGAACCGAGCAGCCCTGGGTTCGATTCCCAGTATCGGAGAGAAAGTTCTCTTTTTGCCCCCTTCGTTGATATTTTTTCTCACCATCCTTCACGAGGGTGTATGATGGGATTTTGCTCCTTAGTCAGCATATCAAAACATCCGATATGGTGTAGTGGCTAACATCGCTCGCTCTCATTAATAAGCGCCGAGCAGCCCTGGGTTCGATTCCCAGTATCGGAGCTTCTATTTCTTTTCTTTTTTTGGACTCTCGGTAAAATTTCGTTGCTCGCATTCACTTTTTGCAGGAATGTTGTTTGTGTGGATGATTGTGGCATTGTAAATGTCCCGGTGCTGATTGGCTACTTTAAACAATGGGTCTGGTTGGATCTCGATTCATCCTGGCATTTCCCCGTCAAGTATCGCGGGTGACAACAAGGCGGCATCCAGTCCAATTGACTTTGAAAAAAAGTAAACAGAGTTTAATTAATTTCTTCAATTGATTTGCTATAAACCACCGAGATATAAACTTGATATAAGCTCAATGCTTTGCTTAATTCACTCACGATCGATAACAATGTACTTCGTATTCAACATGCAACAGACATCACGTGAGCCTCGGAACGCCTGGGCTCGACTTGCAGGTCACGAGCTGACGAAGCGGTGACACGACAATAGCAGCCCAATTGGCCTTATGATACGTGGTCAATCGTCTGGATCACCAGAAACCATTCCTTGATATCCATTGTTTAAAGCGCAGGGTCCTCTCAATCTCGACATGGGCGAACAGACTGTCCCTACAGCGGACCCTCAGGTGACCTTTTCATCGGGCCGAGTTGGCAGCAGCGGCAGTTCTGAGGCGCCAGACCTGCGAATTCTGCACTACAACGACGTCTATCATGTTGACCAAGCCAGTGCAGAGCCGGTGGGAGGATTGGCGAGATTCGTAACGCTCTGCAAGGAGTACAAGGATGGGGAGCAGTATCATGGCCAGTCTGAGCTGGTTACCCTATTCTCGGGCGATGCCTTCAACCCGAGCTTGGAGAGCAGCGTTACCAAGGGTATGTTGTTCAATTTCAAGATGCCAATGCTCCTATAAACCAATGGATACTTATTGTTGATAGGGTCTCACATGGTTTCCGTCCTCAATGCTGTTGGCACGGATGCCAGTTGCGTTGGAGTAAGTCAATGCCGTCTATTTCACCACAAGCCACAACCACTAACCGAAACCCCCTGCATGGACTTAGAACCACGATTTGGATTTTGGAGTCAAGCAGTTTGAGCACCTGGCTGAAAAGTGTGAATTCCCCTGGCTACTGGCCAACATTCTAGATCCTGCCCTGGGAGAAGACGTCCCGCTGGGTAATGCTAAGAAGACTCATATGCTCACTACTTCCAACGGCATCAAGGTGGGCCTCATTGGTCTGGGCGAGAGAGAATGGCTCGCAACCATTAACAGTCTTCCGCCAAATATCATCTACAAGTCCGCCACTGCCGTCGCCAAGGAACTTGTCCCAAAGCTGCGAGAGGAAGGCGCTGAGATTGTCATCTGCCTGAGCCACATGCGAGAGCCCAACGACAACAAGTTGGCTGACCAGACGGATGGCATCATCGACATTGTTCTGGGTGGACATGACCATTACTATGCTCACAGTTTTAGAAATGGGACTCATGTCCTGCGCTCTGGAACTGACTTCAAGCAGCTCAGCTACATCGAGGCGCGGCGAAAGCAGGACGATCCCAAGCGATGGGATTTCGACATCTGGAGGAGAGATGTTACGTCCGAGGTACCCGAGGATGAGCCCACGGCCAAACTTGTGCACAACTTGACGTCTAAGCTACAAAAGTCGCTCTCCAGGCCCGTTGGGTGGACAGCCATGCCCCTCGATGCTCGATTCGTCACCGCCCGCTTGAAAGAGTCCAACATGGGCAACTTTGTGTGTGACATTATGCGTTCTTATCATAATGCTGATTGTGCCATCATGGCTGGTGGTACGATTCGTGGCGATCAGATTTATCCTCCTGGAGCAATTCGCATCAAGGACATTACTTCTTGCTTTCCCTTTGAAGATCCTGTTGTTTTATTGAAGGCCAAGGGGCAGGCGATCTGGGATGCGCTAGAAAACGGCGTTTCATTGTATCCTGCTTTGGAAGGCAGATTCTCTCAAGTTTCCGGCATTGAGTATGAGTTTGATCCCTCGAAGCCGTCTGGCCAGAGGATCTTGTCCGTCAAGATCAATGGTAAGACTTATGAGCCAGAGAAGCTGTATATTCTCGCGACTAGAGGCTACATGGGCCGTGGGAAGGGTAAGTGTGATACAATCCTTCGTGTCTCTACACTTATTAACTAACCGGAATCTTAGACGGCTTCACGAGTCTGCTCGTCAAGTCTGAGGGAGGAGAGGTAGAGGAGATTGTCGATGAAGAGAGCGGAATCCTCCTTTCTGCTATGCTCCGCCAGTACTTTATGGCCCTCCGAACAGTCGGCCAGTGGAAGAAATTGTCCGCAAACTGGACCAATATCGTAAAGGATTGTGGTCACACTCACTTACCATCCGAAATGTTCCAAGGAGAAAGCCAGGTGGGGCGGCTTGGAATTCACGAGCATAGAGAAAATGGGGATGAGGACCCCTGGCACAAGTTCTTGCGATCAAGACTGGGCTACAGCAAGAAACCTCAAGACGACGACGACGACGCCCATTTTGACCCCGCTGCAGAGAGCGATCACTCGGGAAGCGATTCGGATAACCAGCTTGACCTTGAGATATTGCTGATGAGAAAGTTTTGGGGACGCTGGGCTCATAGGGCGGGCGTTAAGAGCGGCGTTTGCGACCCCCTGAAAGAGGCCGAGTGTGCCGTGGACTGGACGAGAGTGATAGCACCCGTGCTCGAAGGACGTATCAAGATTGTCACATCATGAGCAACTCGGAGCTAGTTTCACACCGTTTTTACAGGAACAAGATACATTAGGTTTCACTTGATCAAAGCTTGGGTTTCCCGATCAATACACCATTCATTAACCTTTCTTATATACTTGACTTCTCCTATATACCTGGGCTCATACCTCCCCCTTTGCTACACTGAAATTATATACAAGAATGTGAGAATTCCACCTTGGCTCCCCACCGGCCACACTTTTCCTCTCGTCGGCCCCCTTAGTTGGAGCATCGGCCGTTGGAGCACTGGAGGTCGTCAGAGCAGTCATCATCGCTACCGCAAGACGCGCCAGCACAGTGGCCTTCCCACGAGCAACTAGTGCTACCGCCGCCGCTGCTACCACCGGAGCTGCCACCGCAGAAGCCGTTGGAGCAAGTAAGATCGTCAGAGCAATCATCGTCGCTACCGCAAGAGGCACCAGCACAGTGGCCCTCCCACGAGCAGTCACCGGAACTGCCACCGCCGTTACCACCACCGTTTCCGCCGCTAGGAGGACTGCCGCCGCAGAATCCGTTGCTGCAAGTCAAGTCGTCAGAGCAATCATCATCACTTCCGCAAGAAGCACCAGCGCAGTGGCCCTCCCAGGAACAATCACCGCCGGAAGGAGGAGTGCCACCCCCGTTGCCTGGATCGCCGCCGCCAGTGGTGCCGATACGAGCGACGAGGCTGTCGCCGAGGGCGCTGATGCTGTTCTCGAAGTCGTTGTAGTCCTGGGCGTTCCATTGAGCACCTCGGGCACCGGGGACGGCGCTGGAGCCGGTGAAGGCGATGTAAAGGACGTCAGTCTGGTCGTGGCCGTTGTTACCGTTGATGCTGTTGCCAAAACAGGCGGTAGCAAGAGAGATGGAGGCCTCGCCAACGACGGGGAATTCACCGTCGTCACCGTTGGTGTCACCCCAGACACCGTAGATCTAAAAAGGACATGTCAATCAGGAGAGCTCATTAAGCGGGAGTAGGGGTAAGCTCCTACCAGCTTGTTGTTGCAGACAACGGCCATGACGGAGAGAGGCTCAACGCCAACGGATTGAGGATCCCAAGTGTCCCAGTTTCCGCTACCCTCGTTACCGAAGACGACATAGGGGTGGGCATTGGCGTCAAGATCCCTCTGGCCGGTGCCGTAGTTTCGGACAGTATCGGAGAAAGCGGTTACGTCCTGGGTATCACCAGAGTCACCGCAGCGGCCATCATCAGCAGGTCCACCCTGGATACCATCACAATCGATGTCCATGTTGGCGAGTCTGCCGTTGGTGCCCTGAAGGTAGACGATACCATAATCGGCAAGATGGTCACCACAGTAGGAGGTGGCTATGCGAAGGGAAATGTGTTAGTCCAATTCTTGAGATGTGAATAATGAGTTGAAGTGGTGCTTACAACCACCATCACCGTCTGAGCTGTAAAAGCCGGTGGCAAGTGGGCTTCTGCAAGAGCCCTGGGAAACGATGGAGTTGTAGAGGCTCTGGACGTTGGCGGGTACCGAGCGGGCGGCGGCGGCACCGGCGAGTGAAGCGAGGACGGCAGTCTTGAAGGAAGCCATGATGGTCAACTTGATTTGACTCCTTTGGTTGAAAGGATGCTTTAGCAGTGGGGATAGTGCCTTTGATTGAAGAGAAGTGATACTGGCTTATATATAAGTTTGCGTCTTAGCAGTTGGCCAGGGACGGCAGAGGAGTATAAGCCTCGGTAGGTCCTTTGCCGAAGGATGATCCTCAACATCGGCTCATCGGCTTCATCCCTAGAGTGAGCCTTGGTTGAACTCTCTCAAACGGGAATGAGGTCCAAAGGATCGGTTAGCGATGCTAGCCGTATAGAGTTCCTCACACCACCCCTGTGAGTATGGCCGAACGAGGATGGCACGGTCTGCCATTACCAGCTGCACACGATCCTGTTTGAGCATGACAATCTCAGTCTTGATGATTGGCTTCGAAGGATGACACGACGTTGCTGCTAGTCCCGTAATACATTGGCCGACCTATGCACTTAATAACTGCATGCCAATATCCAGCTTTCGGCGAATGTGGAATCAAACAATGGAGCCATTTGCAGCACCAGTTCAACGTTTTTCTGTTCAATTCATCTCTGTTTGGTGGCATTGGCCCGTTTCCCTATCAAGATTGCCAGAAACAGAATATCCCAATTCGGATTCAGGTCAACCGATTTCGACTCTACCGTTGCACCAAACTTCACTGACTGCAGGTAAACAATCATCATTGAATACTAGCAGTACTATCTCAGCTCCCTCCATTGATACCATAGTGGGATGCAACCCCCCGCGTATGGTTTCCACGTTGTTTATGAGTTGCCTCTTTGAGTCGTTGGATTTACAGGAATTCTCACCGAGTGGGTGCGCTATGTGGGCTGAGGGACTGCTGATACATTTAACGATGCTCGTATTCTCAAAACTCGAACAATGATTCCATTTGCTGTGTTTGCTTTTGAAGACCGATGTGGGAAAGAATTCATACTTTCTATCTTCAAGATTAAGAGTCCAAAATATGTATCTTGCTCACAGCGATAGGCGATTACTTCTCCAGCAAAGAACCGAATTGTTGTCTAAATCGTTCAACGGACATTATGTTCACGGGTCTTTACTCGGCCATGGCGGTCTCACACGCATGGCTAGCGTTCATCCTGACTCTGACCCAAGGAACTTAACAGGGTTTACATAAGGTTACTATTAAAGCGCATAAACAGGGATCCAGCCGCATCTCATTGTGGCAAGTTTTGGCGGCAAACACAAGTATCTAGGTTTCCAGATATGAGATGAGATCAATATGATGATGGGCTACGGGCGGCAGATACGATATACGCAGCTGACGATCATACGGTTCACTGGATTGCCAGCCAGCTATTGAGGGTTTACACTGCACGCATTGCATTTTGCATCAATGGCAATTCATCGAAACGGTCCGTTGGAGAGCATAGGAAGACTGAATGGATTCCGAGCCATATTTCCCCATGAACGAATCACTTCCTTGCCGACCGTCTACCGGCGGATGTGGAACTATCTTGAGGATTTGCCATTACAATCACAGCCTAGTTGACTTGCTAGCCGACCAGCCGGCTTGGCTTCTGTCAATTGGCTGTAAACAAGCTCTAATTGCCCGATGGGAGTTGTTAGGGCCATGCAGGTTTGCCCCATAATCTCACTACGAGTGATCTCTTGTGGGCAGCTGGGAAACGACTGAGCTTCCGGATTCGACATCTTTTGCGATATTTTGTCTTGGGTAGGGGATTATGCTTACAAGGGATTCTGCTTTTGACTTCCTCCAAGCAGAATTTAGGCGCGCAATCCTACATCCAGGGATGAGCTGGGAATAATGCCTCCCCGTGCATGATTAGAGTAAAGCAGACAGCTTGGGCTCAAACTTGGGGTCAGAAAACGGCTTGGTAAGCGTCATACTTTACAGACGCTTGTTCTTGGATCCTTCAATAATGCATGCGCCGTATGCTATACGATGCTGGTCGATCCGGCATATCGTGCTTCTCGGGGGAACTTGTCAAGGTTCATGGTATGCTCCCTGCAGTACTACTTGGTTCATTCGTCGAGGAATGGAACGTAGTATAAGCTCCAGCCCCCATGCTGGTATCCGGATGCAATTGATCCGCCATTCAGACAATTAGATATAGATACATGTAGTCAATGCTGCTTAGTACTCGACCATTAGTTACAAAGTATTACTACTCATCTCCAATACGAGATCCTACATCGCATTACAAGTGATGCCATATGCTAAAGAGCCGGACAAGATTTTGGTAACTATCGATCATGCACACTTGCATCATACAATGCACACAAGCGAGAACTTGACTTCTTATCTGTGGACGAACCAGCCAAGCAGATTGGCGGCCGCGGGGATTCGTCTGATCAAGGATCTATGGCAGGTAGGCTTAGGATTATGGTTCAATGGTAAACTGACGCGTGAACCATGTGTAAATGTAACCTTGTTACCAAGGTAAAACAATAAGAATACACAATCAAGGGTCACCCATGGATCAGCTTATCCAGCGGATATTCCGCCGTCACGGTACGGCGCATACATTATGATCTCAGCAGGCGTAAGTGCTGGATATACGAGGAGTGTTACCCTACTGCCGAATAGGGCATTTGTCGTGGGGAGGCTATGATTAAAATGGACGATGGTATCCTCTTTGTAGGGTAAATGACGAGATTGGAAACGAAAAGATGAAAAGTTACATACTGAAGTCGCGGCCAAGATTAATAAATAGAGTGATTGTTCTTTGTATTTTCGGCTGAGGAGAGAATCTACGGAATACTTGGATTTTCGCTCACTCCAATAGCTGAGCTGTAAGCTGATGGCCCCCATCCCGATCATAGACTGCTGATGCGTCTTGGAACTTGTTATAGTTGGCTCCTTTCGAGAAATAGCTTTAATTCTGATCAGACATTCCTTTTCTTGAGTATGCCTACGCTGACTCACACACATGACGCTGCAATTTGGAGTGCACAAGAGACGTGAGATGTTGTCCTTGTATTCTCTTCAATTGGTTGGGCGGACTTACTTGAAAAATACAGGCAGACTTATATGAAAACGAAACGTGTGTGGAGTTTACAGCTAAAATCCTCGACTTTTCTCCAGCTAACAACTAATATGAAGGATTCTCTATTTCTAACGCTGCTTCTGTGCAGCGTTATCCTATACGAGAGACTTGAACTGTGGTGATTGGGTAGCGTATCCTGTGTTGTGTCGTTACATTAGTCGTCAGCACCGAGAAGGGTCAAGAAAACTCGACCATCGAAACAGCAGTATTGCCCTGATTTACCCTATAATCCGCGATACACTTTTGAGCATACAACCTATAGGCGCAGGTCGAGAAAAAAGTGCAACTCTCTCATATCCCGACGCCTCAAACAACAACTACGTTCAAGCCAACCAATTATGTTAGCACTGTCCGATTGGGTGTAGATAGAGATGGTAAGGCGAACTTTAACATCACGATCCAGTTAGTCATCAAACGGTTTCTCTTGAGTGACCTGAGAACACACGATTCATCCCTTCAAATGCCGCCTTCAAATGGACAGCATGGTTCTCATTTTGTATGGCCGTGCTCATTCTACCCAGCTGTACAAGCAACGTATGTTCAAATGAGCTCAGACGTTGCTAGCTTGAAAAGGAGCGAGTGCGCCCCGAGATCTTGGCTGGATATCTTGCATTCAAAAGTCGACATTTCATCTTGGTACAAAAGGCAGTGTATTGTATAACCTAGGTTGCAGGCTGGTACCTTCTCTTCTATTTGGCATGAATGTATGCAAAATGGCTAGAGTATCTAAATGAGTGCTTTGGTAATATGGGAAGTACGGCAATGCGATGCATCATGCAAAGACAGACCGACGGCTATGAGTTGTAATGCTCAAGATTCTGATTAGGCCCAAGGACTATACCTTTATACTTACATTGCTGTGTTTTGGTGTTTCGAACTACTACTTGTCGCACCTGTATACATCATCCCCTACTACATCATCTCGATACTCGGTTTCGTTTCTACCTATCCATAGTCCGATTGACGTGTTGACGCATGCAGAAAGAGAGAAAAGGGAAAACAGTGCTTTTGCTAAAATGTTTCCATGCAATACTGCAAGGAGACGAAGAGTTGACAAGATCAAACAAATGACCCGGACTGAGCAGCCAGGCGTATGCTCCCAACATTGCAAAGCCTTAGAAATCGCCGCCTTGGAGAGCAGTGCAAGCTGGTTGGTTTGACAGAGCAAAGGCCCATGATCTCGCTGTTCTTGCTTACCAAAGAAGCCGTTGGTAAGCAATTTGTGAATGCCATCATCGGCTCGATCACTGCTGTTACAGTGGGCTTAGGTATGTGCGGTACGATAGCTAGATATGCATGGTTGAGCCCTCTCTTTGGTCAAACCGGGTAGCAGACATTTAGGGGGTTTTAGAAGAATAGTTTCCATCAAAAACAGCAAAAATGAACATTGCAGCTGGCAATATATCTGGTCATTATTTGATCATCATTCAGCTTCAAGACATGCCGTTGTAATCCCGTGCCTCTTACTGCCAATAGCTACCTTACAAATCCAACAAAGGCTTCTTCTTCAGTTGTTCAAGTTTTGTGCAATCTGTAACTCTCCCATATACTTGAACAAATCATTATCCATCTATCCGTGAAGAGCCCATGTATAGTCACAACCTAACTTACATAATAGGGCCCGAAACTCCCGACTGTTCGCAACGGATGGTGACACGCCGCCCTGGGATAGTTGCGTTAAAAATATTACATTTTATCAGCAGCGGGTGAATAACACGTCTTGGCGATATGAAGATAATATATTATATAATGATCCAACAATGAGATCGGCGAAAGGCCAGATGCGACACCTTCCGAATAGAACATCCAAGTCACCTTGCATTGAACAGTAGTCACACAAGATGTCCCGCCGCTGACCCAATTCCCGATCCGAATTAACTCCAGTCCGTATGTCCCTTGAGCGCCCCGGCACGATTCTATCATTCCAGAGAAAAATCTTTGTTGATAATCCGGTACTCAAAATCCCTCTCTCATGACAAATGGGTATCTGAAAGCATATGCTGTTTCTGTCCGACTGAAAGAAAACCTCTTTCATAGAAAAAAAAGAAAAAGAAAGGGAAAGAGAAAAAAAGAGTCAACGACGCCAAGTTACATCTTGAGAAGCGCCTCGTTCTCAATAATCCTATCCTTCCAACCTTCGCAGGCTACCTTGACCATAGTTTTGCCAACTTGAGTGGTCGTGATGGCGCCGTAGAGGTTGCCGACAAGCTTTTTGGAGAAGGGTGCGCTGGGTTCGATGAAGCCGGAAGGTCGCAAGATCCACGTCTCGAATTTGTCGGCGTTTGCATCAGCAAGGTCGCATAAGCCTTTCTCAACTTCTCCCTTGATGCGACGAGAATCTCCCATGAACAGAAGGGGCCTCTTCTGGTTCCATTCCGAGTATTTGCCGCTGCAAAAGACGAATCGGAATTTCTTGCCCGGGGGGACTTTGTCGGCCAGGTATTTCAGCATCGCGTTGGCCGCCGCTAGTGTGAACTCTACGCTCACTTTGCGACACAATTCTTTGTCGTTGTTGAACTGGTTGATTCTCCCTCCAATAGCCCTAAGGATTTGGTATTAGTAAAAGGGGTGATCAAGTAATGAGGTAAACGCCCCAGCACACAGGATCAAGCTGAAGCGTTATATGCGATGTTGATAGTTGCAGGTGTCATTTTCCATGTTCGGAAACTCACCATAAGCACACTTCGGCGCCCTCCAGTCTGCGCATCATATCCTCAGAATATTGTGAAAAATCCTGATGCATGACGACTTCGGCCTTGGGGTGGCTTTCGACATCTATCGAAACCGCTTTCCTCGTAAAGATGACAACCTTGGTGATGCGCTCGTCGGCAAAGCAGTGGTTGACGACTTCCTTGCCGGCGTTGCCAGTCGCCCCAAAAACAAGAACTTTCATGGCGATGTAAGTAAACTATTCCTGGTTTCACTTGCGACTTGAATCGGTATGGGGGTGCACTTTGTTGGACTGCTTGGCCTCGGCTTGTCGTTGTTGGCGGGCAAAAGGAGAGGTGGCGATGGTTTCGGTACAACCCGAGTCCTGCGACACTTTGATCTAAATGTCCAACTAGTCCGTACGGCAGCGGGCCCAGCTCATTTATATCGGATGAGCAGCATGATTTCCGAGCCACAGAGAGGAAGGGTGAGAATGGATGGCAGGCTAATCGGGGCTCGCTTGGCTTTTAGTCTAGTCGTTGACAGCAGATCATCTTGTACTTGACAGTCCACCAACTAGCACCGTGAAATTACTATTTCTTGCTCAGGAAGCTTTCTGAGCAAGGGTCCTAGTGTTGGGCCGAGCCGTGTAGCCGGCTGCAGCAATGCCGGGGTGGGTCGGGTCGACACAAATTGTATTGGTGCATGACATGAGTTTAGGGCTGCTAGGAGTTGGAATTCCGCATCTTGTCCCTATCGTTATTGCTGTACCTTGCTGTACCCGTGCTTGTAGTATTTGTCAAGACGCCCCAGGAGGGTATAGTGTCAGCCAAGACAGCAAATAGGCGCGAAGCGTCGTGATGACCATGGCGGCATCGGCCTCGTGGCGCGTCTTTGCGTCGGAGCTTGGATCATCAAATCCGACGCTGTCGAGAAATGAGATGCTAATCGCACTCCGCACAGAGCATTTTTCTCCATGATGGATCTGCTCTGCTTCGAGGCTCGTGACTAGCATTGTTAAACACCGGCTCCGGTTGTTAGTGGCTCGTTAGTTGGCGGTCATGATTCAGTCGGTTCAGTCTTCCAAGGCGATTACGGCCTTCGGTTCCGTCATCCGGCGTGAGGTGAGGTGAGGCAGCTACTGGAACACATGCGGAGTTGGCCTGGCGCCAACTGTAATCCATGCCACCTAGCCCAAAGAATGCAGCCACTCTGGCCTAGGAGTGTGTGTCACGGCCAAGACCCTGGCGTGTGTTGCCGTTTCTGTCGCTCTCCTTTCTTGGGGGATCACTCCCTGTGCTCCATCTTGCTCAACCCACGGCTCGAGCGTATCTCGATCTGCTCCGTGCAAGGATACGAGATGCTTGTGTAACTGCTCATCTCGACTTGCAATCTGCCTCCGACTGCGAGGAGAGGGAGAGGGAGAGGGAGTGAGGAGACGAGAGCTGAGTAGAACCCGGCCGATGTGGTACCGATGCACCGAGTAGATGATAGTGCAGTAATAATACGAAGCAGTGGAGATTAGACAGCCCGTTCTCCGTCCTCCGTGCTGCGTACCGTACACGGCACTCGAGTCGGTTGGTCTTGCGCCTGTGCCATACGAGTACTTTACAGCAGTAGGTACTGTGCGATTTCTCACAGCCCTGGCAGTTTTGGGGGGAGGGTAGGCCGGCGAGATGAGCCTATCAGACGATGCTGTGATGCCGCATTTCCGTTGGAGTCTGCCTCGATGCGGCCCTCAGCGGTGCACATGCACATACACGCTCCGTTGACGGCACTGGAAAAGCCAGATGATGGAGATGACGCGGATCTGCGGCTGTCGGCGGTGGCAACGATTCCGCCGCGGGTTTCTCAGTGTTCACATGAGTTGTTCAAATATGATACAGTATGACAAAGATACAAGAGAGTGAGAGTGGGAGTGGGAAAAGACTCATGCAAAGGAGATGAAGCGGCAAAAGTCCTGAACCCTGGATCGAGCAGGTGTGATCGCTGGGTCGTTCCTGAGCTCTGAATCCGGGGTCTTGGCAGCGAACGCAGGAGCCAACGGGATCCGCGGATTCAGCAGTAGAGGCTTGGCCTCCCGCCTTGGCGTCTTGGCTTGGTCTCGATTCCTTGGCAATTTCATGCCGGAGATTTTGCAAAAAAAATCAAAACACCACAAGAGCATCGCGAGATTGGCATCACACTTTTCTTAGATAACGGGTAGCTGTACCGGTAGTTGACCATTTACCTACCGCTTGTCCATGTCCATGTCTCAGCATCACGGCTAATCAGTCCATCTTCTGCTGGGTGCTTTGGCGTTTAGCCGGTCCCGTATTCCCCGTATCTGCCACCACGGCCCAGGGGAAGAAGAAAAGAGGACGTTGATGTTCAGAAGAGCCTCATGTTTCCGCTCCCCTTTTCTTTTCTCTCCCCTTCTCTTCACGTCTCTTTTCTCAGAGTCGGAAAAATTACCAGACTAATACTAGCAATAGCACTACTGTCTGCCCTAAATCTATGTGACAAGTCATTAATTGGGAGCGGCGGATTAGCGTCCAATGTAACACACCATCAACGTCGCTGCATCTGACGGTGCCATTCTGGAGAATTTTTGATGCCTGCCATGCTGGACCACGGAATTCGGCCGAACATATGATCAAACAGTTGCGGGCATGTTATGGGCCAATTCCGAACGAGAATAGATAACAAATGCTGCTTATGTACGGAGTACCGCAAGTTGATTTACACACACATGTCAGTATTACTATCGTCTTCTTTCCCCTATTGATGACTAGCTACTAGGCATGGAGTTTGTTTCGACGCTTCACGATTCCCCCAGCCAGGATTCAGCACTAAACCTATTTCTCCTCTATGCTTTGCCAAGCCGGCATCCAAGTTGCCATTTCCCAACAACACCATTGAGAGCTTTGGAAGGGTATCGCGATTTCGACTAGATTAGAGAACGCCTCGCTCTCAAATAGCAATGTTTTGCTACTCTATCATTTCTGGTCATGTCGCAAGAGACGGACCAGATTCCGATTGAGGTGACCCACTGATATGGTGTTTGTATGCAGATCCCCTTGACACGGTCTCATCAGTGCTTGAGCTTCCCTGGTCCTAAATCCTCAGGCGCTTATGGCAGATTACAGGCATCGTTGCCTGGGCTACAAATGTAGTTAGCCACGTAGCCCTTCAGATGGACCAACAGCAATCTGCGTATGCTCTGTGTAAAGAGTGCTGAGCCCCAAAGTTGTAATGTGACTCGGTGGTAAAAATGGGCGATGCAGACAGATCAGCCTGCATTTCTCCGCCGTAACGATCAAGTCACCAAAGAAATCTCATCGCTCCGAACCCTTTCTCCCAATAACGTAACAAACATCCAGGCCGCTCTGGAGAGGTCATCAGTTACATCACCGGATTTTACAATCTTGATCCGAGACTGCGCGAGGACAAAGCCTCCGCATGAGATCTGAGTGATGTGAACACCCGGATGGAATAGGTTCAGTGCCATGTGGTGGTCTAAATGGTTCGCCAAAGCTTCCATCAAGGGGTACGAATTTCCTTCTTGATTCTTGAGCCACCCCCACCCGTCGTCCATGTGCGGACCGGCGAGCCTGCGCCGTTCTCGGTCGTCATGTTCCCATGATGGCGTATTCGCAGATGTTTTAGAACTTGCCCTCCTAGATTTCAGCAATGTCTTCCCAGCTCGTAGGAAGCGACGCAGATCCGATGCCGAGATGCATATTTCCATGCTCCGTAGTCCAGGGCTAGCTGCCTCTTCATCTTCATCTTCATCGTTGCCGAGATCCCCGCTTAAAGGAAGTACAGCCGCTCGGCCTTTGTCTGTTACCGGCGCATTAAATGCCAGAGTCAACACAAGGTCAGACTCTGCTCGGGGTAGTCCAGTTTCTTGAATCCAGCCTTCCAGTACGCCAACCAAGGTTCGAGTGCCCAAGTTTAATTTAGTAACACGGCAGTCGAACGTTGTTGACAGCCATTCTCCAATGACTGCCTTGAGAGGCTGTGGCATCCGAAGGAGCAACAGAGGCAGGCGAAGAAACTGGCTGCTGTCAGCCTCGCCAATCTCAGGCTGGTCTATGTCCATGCTCCACATTGAGGCAGCTGAAGTGGTGGGAGCCTTTTGCTTTTGCGAGAATCCAGGCAGCAACAGTGCGACATAGGCAGCATTCTCATGCCGCAGCTCGATCCAGAGCCCCTTGGCCTGTTCATCTGACAGCTCGCCCCAGCTCTCGGAGCTTTTGTCGCCCAGGATATCCGTTGCCTGGAACCAACGAAAAGTCACGGCCTTGAGCGGCCCAACCTGGCCCGTTGGCGTGTCCGTGGCCTCGAGCCCAATCTGAATACCGCGAACCACATCGCCGACGAGCGTGTCACGGAGTCGGTGAGCAAGTCGGTCAAGGCGAGTTTGGTCCAGCTTCTGAACACCGATAAAGAGCGGAGACACGCGGTGAGTTGAAAAAGTCGTGTTGAAGAACTGCGGGACTTGAATCTGAACAGAGTCGCTGTCCTGGTTCCGCTCAGATGCGGTTTGTTGTTGAGCCGAAGCGACTTGAGCCCTTTGGCGCGCCATGTCTGGAAGCGCGTTTGTATCGACAGAATGGTTCAGAACTAGGCGGATGCTGTTCTTAGGGGTGTTTTGTCATCATTCAACGCGTTGCTTGGCCGTTCATGTGAGAAAAGACGGTTCAATGTGAAGTGAGCAAAGGGCAGCTCACTTCATTCACGGTCAAAGTTGAATCAAGACTTTGTGAGAAATGATGACTAATCACATGCACCTCTCATCGACATTAAGATTGAGATTGAGCCCTCGCTCTTCAACTTGGATTCTTCATTATTCGAGAATTATATCTTTCTCAATCTCATCTTAATACTAAATAATGCTTTTATTTTGATCAAGTCACTCTTTTAATTCTCCCCGAAACTGCGCATCTTTCCGGCGAATCGTCATCTCGACTCTAGGACTGCATAATCATTGCCGTATGTCTCACTGTTCGGGATGAATGCTCCCATCCAGAAAAGAAAGTGAATGCAAAGGTGATGTAAATATGTAACAACTTGGTCTCCCAACTATACTGCTTGATTCACTTTGGCCTCCAAAATTGTTCGTTGCTGGTTGACGACCACTTACCTAGGTGTGTACACGAACAACTCCGAGACGGACATTAACCGCAATGATTCTGCGTTTCGTTCACCATCCCAGCATGTCTGCTTCTTTGTTAGAATACAAGTATATATATCTGTCTCCTTACCACTCTACCATGATGCTATTCGCAAACCAAATCGCAGCTTGTCACCAAATGCCAATTCTCATCACCTTACAAATCGTCCGACAAACTTCAGCATGGCCCCCGAACCTCCACCAAACGATTACGAGGCTGAGGCCCACGACATTTACCTAGGAAAAAACCGCCGGCTTGCCGACCCAGTCTTCTTCCCAGCTTCTAAGCGTTCGAATCATGAAATGAGGGTAATTGAAGAGACGCTTGTCCGTGAAATGGAATTGGAGCCCGATGGACCTCGAGAATTCACGAAAAATGTCATGGTCCTATGGGGCTGGGGCATATGTACACGATGGCCCCCAGGCGGCCCAGTTCCCCGACTTGAAGACTTTGGAAAGGCCATGGATGCAATGGCCGCTGACGTACACGGCCATTGGAAAGAAATCCAGTCCTTGGTCAGAAATCATGAGGATGCCATCCGCGACTGGATCCTCCGCTTCTCTCCCGGCATTGAGAAACAAGAGTCTCGGGACAAGAACATGTTGTATGCTGGCATACAACAAAGTTGGGAACGCACTGTCAAGACATTCAACGACTGTGCCGACGACATCAAGATCTTCATGAAGTCTGATTCCATCGAATCCGATTTTGAGATTGACGTCCCCAACTATCCCGAGTATGAGAAAACTCGAAGGCTCCCTTTTTCGTTCATGTGCGAAAACTTCTTGATGGGGCACACACACGCTCCACCAGAGGGCCGAGATCACTATGTTGCCCTTTACTCCCACCCCTACAACTTTTTCAACGACCAATCAGATGGAGAGGAACTTGAACCGTGCGAATGTGAGTGTCTGGGCTGTCAATGCAATGATGAGGCGTCACGCGAGTTCTACAAAGGACAACGAATCTTGTTCTTGGCCCCTCACATAGCCTCGTGCGATTTGCAAGATCCCAATTGCCTACTTTCCTTCATCCACTATCGTGGTCGGCAACATCCGTCTGTGTTTGTTAAAATGGACAATGATATGACTTTCATTGGTAGACGGACTTATCATCTGACCGGCCCCTTGATCCCGAACCGCATGGTCAGCTTCGACATCTCAAAGGGGTATCGTCCAAAATTGTGGAAAGGGTGGGCTAGTCGCCCGAACCCTGAGATTTCGGGCGGGAGCAAGGAAGAATATGATCATCTTTGGCATCAAGGCCAGTTGTTTGGAGCATCAGAAGCCTGGATCATGCTCCAGAGCCAGCGAGCCACTTATCACTACCTCAGACACCTCCTCGGGTTTATCTGCCGCGAGATAAAGCTCCAAGTATCCCCCAAGGCGAACCCCAAGCCGCCAGGAGAACTAGAGCGCATATTTCGCAGTTCAAGGGCCTCGATGGATGTCATCGCCCAGAGGGCTTTGGCCAACTGGTTCGCTTTTACTAAGCAGCAGGCTTTCCTCCCTCCACCAATACAAATCTCCCCAAGATATATGCAAGATCTCCAATTCAAGATGGAAGTCGCCGAGAAACATATACAGGAGCTCTTCAGCGACCCAGGGTATTTCTTTGACTGTATCAATACACTCAAAGGGCATCATTGGGCAAATATCGAAATGCAAAAGGACGAGACAATGATCAACAACCGTGGCCTTGCTTCCATATACGTGGAGAAATACGTCGAGGAGGATTATCGGCATATTCTCTATTTTGATCTCATTAGGGGCGTGCTGAGGCGATCAATTTTCGAATTCTACATGTGGCACGCTGCTTACACTCGCCTTCAGGAATTTCAAACCACGATGAGAAAGACGTTCAAAGACTACGGCAAAGAAGAGGAGTCTGATACAGACGGAACCAAGATGCTCCAGCAGCCTCCAATGTTTCTTTCTGACAAGGCGAGACGTGCTCACGCCGCATTGGCAGAAAAATACCTGTCTCTGGTCGTTTTGCTACGATATGATGCCGTCTTTTTCATCAACGAGTTCCGCAAGAAAGGTATTCATGCTGGTGATCATACAGTGTTTGAAGTGGCTTACGTCGACCAACCTCAGGAGGAAACTCAAAGCCGCCAAAACACCATACAAAAGAAGCACTATGGAGCTCCGGACCTGAAATGCCGCCCGAAATTCAGGAACAAATCGCTTCGCGTTGACGAATATTCAGCAGATGAGATTCTTCGAATGTTCTTCTTCAACAGCATGGACAACTTCATCTCCGATGCTTTGAACTGCACAAACTGCGGCATCACGGAGGCGGCAGGCTATCTCCAAGCAATGTCTCGAGCCCACGATCCGGACAGCACAAAGCTCATCTTCACAGACTTGATGGACGACACCATCGATAATCTCAATCTGCTATCCTCGCTTGCTGACCACCTGGAGTGTTTGTGGCCCGCCATGGACAAAGTCGGGGGCGCAGCCGTGGACGAGACCGTCCGCCGAAGGTATTTCGACTTGGGCAGCAAGGATATTTCCATCAACTTTCTGAATTTTGACGACTTTGACTTTGAAAAGAAGATCCCCACGAAGCGCCTAAACAGACTGTTTCTCTTCTTCGATGAACTGCAGGGCTTCAAGGATGAATCAATTTCGATGGGACATGCCAGAGGTGATCTGAAGAGGTTTGGGGCCTCGCTGCTCTGTAAGTTTATATGCCCCCTCAACAGCGAAGGGCGTGGCTCCAAGGCCAACCAAGAAGCAATTTCTAGACTTGAAAAGGCAATGGGAGTATCTGGATCCGATTACGTCTTCAACGTAAAAGAAACGCCCTTCAACCTGGACGAAATCAAAGCAGCCAAGGGAGCAAAGGTCCATTTGGAAAGTCAGCCGTCAAGCCATCGCAACGTCGCAGCTCGTGAGAAGGATAAAGCTAGAGAGCGCCAGCAGGAAAGAGAAGCCTTCAAAGACGCGGTATGGGTGGAAAGGGATGGCATGGCGGAGGTGTACAAGTACAATCCGCGATGGATGCAGTCACTCCATTCTGCTCTCGAACAGTTGCAGCTCCCGCCCATCCCCGGTCTAGTCGATGCTCTATCCAGCCTTTCCCTCCAGTCAGCCCCCAAGGCTCCAGACGGCCAGCCCAAAGGCGTTATGAAGAAACGCGAGTGGGCCACGCTTGAAGCCGTCTACAACGTTCATGGCAGCGCCAATGCAGCTGTTTCCTACGCTCAACTCAAGTTGGCGATGGGGGCGATGGGATATAAAGAGGATCCCAGCGGGGGGAGTCACATGAGGTTCGTCAGACAGGACGGTAGGTGGCCGCATGATGTGCTGCCAAAAGGTGAGAATGTTATCGTTGCGCGAACACACGGAGGAGAGCGAGCTGCGGCGGCCAAGGGGAAGGCGATGGATTGGGGAAAGAGGTTTGTTGAGAGAGGGTTGACATTTGACTTTATTCAGCAGTGGTACGTGAAGGGATGAAGGAGATTGTTTGATTTACTATGCTATTAGTTATTCGCTTTGTTATTTCGGAAGGTTTGTATCTGATTTGGGTAATATTTACCGTGGGTAATCTAGATAGATGTAGGTATGTTCATCTCAACATGTTCATACACAAGCAACAACTCAACGTTGGCAACAATCAACTCTTAGTTCTCCATCACTTGGTTCGTCATCACATCGTGTTTCATCCAATCAAACGTATCGAAAAGCTCAAGACTAAGGTCAAGCTGCATGTCCTCCATCGCTTCCGGCCGCCAACTCATGTTCTCGTTCGCCGCGTTAAGAACGTGATCCAGCACACGCCTCATCACAGTGCTGGCCGTCGCGCACAAATCGCTATTCGGCCTAGACGGGTCAATCCACTCGAGAAAGCCAATGAGGAGGCTGAGATGCTGGATGATGTTGGATCGCGTTATCGAGGGGTTCTTCGGATGACTTCCCTTGAAGGTTGGGTTGAGGAGCTCCATGCAGAGGATACCACCGCTAGGAGTTGCAAAGGCCATGACCTAGAAATGCCACACAACTGCGTGTAAGTAAAATGTGTCCTTCTTAGAAATAAGCGTTGTGGAAAAGGGGGAACTTGTTTGTCTCACCAGCCACTCAAAGTCATTCCTAAAAGGGGCAAAGCGGTCCTTGTGAGTCCAAAACAACAGCGTCAACGAGACAAGCTGAAAGGCAATGAGCAATATTCCACCTTCGTCTACCTCTCCATGCTTCGATAGCATCCTCTCGATAAGGAAAAGGTTCTGCAGCTGCTCAAGCTGCAGCAATATCCGCGCAAAGATCATATTCACGTTGGAATCGGGATCAGCAAAATCAGCGGGATTGTAGGCTAAAGACGCCGGGAATTCCTTCACAGCCTCAACGTGCCGGTCCTTGAGATCCCTGCAAAACATGAGAATAGATCAGCGGGGTTCGACGGGATACAGAAGCGCGAGTACCGAGGGGGAGCGTATCCTTACCGAAGAAGAGCGCCGGCAACTTTCTGTCTAACTTTGCCTATCCCAATCTCAACCAACTCATCTTGTATAAGCGCTATGATGTATCTCGCTCGAGTGAAGGTAGCAGAATACATCTTCCCGCTTGTATTCCAGCCGTTCTCATCCAGTGACTTGACAGCCTCCCTGAGGGCCTCTCCCCCCTTGAGCAGATCTTCGTCCCGCAGGTCCAGGGGAAGGGGTGTAAACGCATAACGATGAGAGAGTCTGGGTGGCCGACCCGTGAACAAGACTGCGTGCTTTTCACCGACAAACATCTGCGCGAAAAGGCGCCGTCGAGACTCAGAGGCCAATGACGGCTCGTACGATGGAGAATTCGACTCGGCATGCATCCCAAGGAATGTCGCCAAAGCCACCGACTCTGCTCCGCTCCTCCATGTGGAATAGCCTGCTCTGTCAGCAATGTTACAGTTGCCTGCTTGCACCGTATATCGGAGGTTTGGAGTCATAAATCACAATAGTAGCATAAAGGAGTCCACTTACTAGCATCTCCCGCGTGGATGGATTCCAGCGTGCTTCGCCGCTGTGCCAGCTGGGCTAACAGGCTGTTCGCCGACGCAAATCTCCTGCTCAAGTCCATGCAAAGCCCGAGGCAGACGCGAGATATCTCTAACCATTCTTCTTTTGCTAAATTGCTTTCAGACCCATCCCGAGATCCGCTGATATACGAAAAGGATAGTTCGCCGTAGCCAAAGATGAGTCCGAGCGACTCCCATCTCAAGTTGGGTCCCGTGAATTGACCGATCCATTTCTCAGGATCTGGTTCGCCCTCTAGGAATGGCTTGGTGCTATTGTCGCTCAGGAAAAGTGCAATATCTTCTAGTTGTGAATCCACGCGGCAATTTCCGAGATATGAACCGAACCTCTCGTGTACATCCGAGAGCACACGTTGTGCCGTTACTCTGAGCCAACCATCTCGGAAAAATGGAGAGTCCTTGATAATTTGAAATTGGCCAGTGTTTGGAGATGGGATGCCCCTAAGCACAACAAGGCACATCTCCTTTGTCGGCGAGCAGAGGTACCTTGGAATTTGATCGGGGTTCTGTCTTAACCTGGTGTTTGTTGGCTGGGGCAACCAGGCGTGAAACCCCTGAAGCATGGAAAGACTATTCTCGGTCTCCTCAAAGACTGACGAATAGCTAGTGAAGCCCAAGTACCCCGAAGCCTGGTCCAGAGGCGTAGATGCCCTATCCGACGGAAGATGGCCCCCTGGCGTCGTCGTCACCGAAGGAGCGAAGTCATGGTTGATTGATTGGTGACGGGGTCCAGTAGGATCAACTGGTGACTCAATGGAATAGACGCGATGATGAGTTTCCAGGGGTGATGACGACGCATTTGCGCTGCTACCGTGAATATCAATGTGAGCTTGGCGCCGGAACTCTGCACGGCGAAGAGCTCGGTCGTCCTCGGCGGACCCAAGCCGATGGCCCGGCACCGGACCGGCCGTCCTCGGAGCCCCATGCTGGTTCACGGGGGCGCGTGATGTTGCCTGATTTGACAGCGGTCGCTTCCTAGGCACTGAAGAGGTATAGACGCACTCTCTTTCCTGTCCTCGATCAATGCATCGCTTACAGACAGGTTGTCGGTGGTCACAAGCCACTTTCCGAGATCTGCAGTTATCACAAGCCACAGGCCGCCCATTGGGTCTGCGGAGTGACATCGGAGGCAAAGCTGACAACGCGGCCATGCAGCCTGGGGGTATATATGTCGACGTAGGGGTATTCAATGCACAACATCCGTTTTCGGGACGTTTTCGGGACGTTTTCGGGAGAAATTGTGTTGAAAAAGGCACCAAAGATGCAAGTATGAAGGTGATTCAAGAAGTCGGATTTCCTAGTCGGCTTCGGGTTCGGTCTCGGCTGGAAGAAATCAGTCAGCTCGGAAACACTAGTCTCTAGTTTGAGTACACGCCATAACAAGGGCGTGGTGAGTGGATCAAATAGCCACGCCAAACCAATCGGGGAGACAATGGCCCTTTGATGACCTCCGGTCGACTTATACGACATATCGGGGGGCTATGATTATTCGAGTAAGATATCAAATATGCTTTGTGATGGACGGTGGATGAGTCAGGAGTCGGAATGGTCGAGCCGAGCTTGCGTGGCTTGAGGGAATCCACACGTGTGAGAATGCCTGGGATCCGGGGCTCATTAAGGTTTCTTAGACGAGCTGACGTGAATTACTTGTGGATGTAGATAAGAATATATATAGACGTAGGCCTTCCTCTTCCGCGGATCCCAATCTCATCAGCAAAACAGCATAAGCTTACAATTTAGGCATTAAACAAGCTTTAACGATTATTCAAAGTCTCACTCAGCCCTACTGAAACTCCTCTTGGACCTGTTAGATCGTTTCCACATCGACAACATAAATATACATCCATCATTCTCCTTTGAATAAATCGACGTTTCAACTGCCACAACAACTCGGGGAACTTCAAAAATCACCTTCAACAATCAAGAGATTCTATCGACCTTACGACTATCACACACATTCAAACAACATGCCTCTCGGATTCTCGACAAAGAAATCTACCCCCATCGCTTCCAAGCTTGAAGCAATGTCGTCCGAAGTGACCTTGGTCGGCCAGTCAAATACAATGTCCGAAAAAGAAGCTGCAGCTGGTACAGACCCCAGTTTCCATGCCTAGATAATCCAAGGCAACACGACTTACACCAGTGTTTCTATAGGTGCCTCCAAAAAAGAAAAGAAAATGACATGGAAGGAAGCCCAGGAAGCTTGCAGGAAGGAGCAGAGCTGGACAATTCTGGTAAGTAGGCTGCTTATTTATCGATGCTACTACATTGTGCAGGATTCTAACACGTTATACAGGCGCAACACTATGCCATGCGTTGAATATAGCGCATGCGAAGCAGACTCACTGAAATACGATTCTTTTTTTCATCCTTTTACAAATTTTGAATTACGACTTACGGCAGTTGCGCCTTTGATTTGATTTGGAGATGGACGCGATTGCCCTACACAGTTCTGCTATATAATATGGAGGATGGCTACACTTGTGTGGAAAACCTTCGACCGAAATAGCTAGAGTATATACCCTTGAGAGATTTAGAAAAGTTTTTTTTTTGGTTTTGGTTTATCTTTTCATAATCAATTAATGATCGCAATCCACTATTGTTTCCTTCATTCCAGCATGTAGTACCAAAAGAACGCTGTCTCCTCCTTATTCTTCGTAATCCCTTTGTATAAATACTCATCGTAGCCTCCAAACTTGAATCCGTATTGCCTATAGAAATAGCATGCGGCAACGTTGTTTGATTGAGATTCTAGCCGAATACCAGCAGCTCCCAGCTGGCGAGCCCACTCGACCACTTTGTCCATCAACTTTCTACCATAACCGTGTCCTCGAATGCTCACATCCAGCACGATCCAGCGAACCTCGACCATGTTGTTCCAAGATTTTGCTGCATGGATGTATCCGTATACTCTTCCATCCTCTACTACGGCGAAGAGAACCCCATCAGGCTCTTTGATATTCTCAAACTCAGACTCGTCAAATCCGAAATCTTTTTTCACAACGGCAATCGAAATAGTGGTAATCTCTGCACTCAGGGCAAGGGCTTCGTAGGGTTTGACCACTTCGGCAGATATCTCAAAGGAGAAGTCTCTGCCCGAAACGTCGTCCTTTGTAAGTCTAGTGGCTCGTCGTATTTCCATAGCGTGAGCACAACGCGACTTGTTTGATTAAGCTTAAAATTCGAACGGTTTTCCTCAGTAAATATGCAGTACCAGGTTACATTCATCAATGAGCTACGTGGACCAACAGCTGTGTATGTAGAGTCGCTCGTGCATGGGGTAGCTTGGTTGGCTAGCCGCAAATGGGCATATAATGAACGACTTTCTGCGCCAACGGTGAGTGACTCAGACCGAGCTGGATATAGTTTCTTAAATTGGAAGTCCGATCCCACATTCGTTTTATTCATCATAGATGACCGGCGTTGAAAACAAGAAAGAAGGGAAGAAAGAAGCTTCATATAGCGAATGTATTGATGGTATCCGAGAGTCCAGATTGCGGTTCGGAATGAGGCTCGGATACAACCCAAGTCAAGCCGAGAGAATGAATACCCCCAGTCGCGGCGCATATTATGGAGAATCCGAGACTTCATTAGGCTAAAAAGAAACCGATCTCGTTTATTCTCGTTTACTCTCGTTTACTCTCTATTTTTTTTAGAGATCGGCAGGGCGAACCTCTTATTACATGCACTGCTCGTACTCGGCGCAAGCCTCGTCTAAGTGTGAATGCAGAGGGTTCTGAGTACTCACTCATGGGCCACTAAACCAGGCCACTAATGAGACCATTGAAAATGGTTTACACAAAAATGTTTGATTGACGTTCTTTATTTCATCTTCATCTCACTTTTCTCTTCATTTATGAGCCTCAAGTTAGTAGTTCTTGAAATCATCATGCTGAGAGATCACAGACAGAGGCGGGGCCCTTCCGCAGAGTGGGGCGCGCCAACAGCAAAATTCCGCGCCTTGACGGAGCTATCTTATCGCCAACAGAAAAAAAAAACTTACACTATTGCTGCGAGTGTCTGTGATATCGCTGAGAAAGCGCATTTCCATTCGTCCAACACCACAGCCACACATTACCGATCCAATGGCTCCTTCACTCCCCTCGCGGAAGCGGAAAGAAGTTTCCGAAGTTGTCGAGTCCGACGACGAATTCGACGGCGCTGAGCTCGAGGGCATCTTGTCGCAGAGCGAGGACGACGACGACGACGACGTTGAGGATTCGCAATCAGAGGGCGAAGAGCCCGAACTCGACGAGGACGAGGACGAAGACGAGGACGAGGATGAGGTAGATGATGTGCGAAGCGGCGACGAAGAGGGCGAGGCAATCAATGGCGAGTCCAATTCCAAGAGCAAGACGGACGTCGACGGCGAGGCAGACGATGAACCAAACTACCGAGTCGTCAAGGACGCCAATGGAGGCGTGCGCTACGAGTACGCAGAGATCGATCCAGTCTACGACAGTGACGACTCGGATGGCCAGGGCCCGGTCAACACCATTGGCAACATCCCGCTCTCCTTCTACGACTCCTACCCGCACATTGGATACGACATCAACGGCAAGAAAATCATGCGGCCCGCCACCGGCGAGGCTCTCGATGCCCTGCTGGACAGCATTGAGCTTCCCAAGGGCTGGACCGGCTTGACCGATCCCGAGACGGGCAAGCCGCTGAACCTCAGCCAGGAGGAGCTGGAGCTCCTGAAGAAGCTGCAGATGAACGAAGTCCCCAGCGACGACTACGATCCTTACCCAGTATGTCTTTTCTCATATCCATCTCTAGGGTCCGCATGAAGTGGCAGCTAACGCAACTCACAACGCAGGACATGATCCCCTACTTCACCAGTATCGAGGAGAAGATGCCCCTCAGCGCCGCCCCAGAACCCAAGCGACGATTCGTCCCCTCAAAACACGAAGCCAAGAGGATAGCCAAGCTGGTGCGTGCCATCAAGGAGGGCAAGATCCTGCCCTACAGGCCGCCCGAGCCCGAGACGGAGCAGGAGGACAAGTACTACGACATCTGGGCCAACGAGGAGCCCCAGGAACACCATGTGATGCACATCCCCGCGCCCAAGCTCGCGCCTCCGGGCTACGACCTCAGCTACAACCCTCCGCCCGAGTACCTGCCCACCGCGGAGGAGAAGGACAACTGGGAGAAGCTCGACCCCGAGGAGCGGGAGAAGGAATACCTGCCCAGCAAGTTTGACGCCCTGCGCAAGGTGCCCGCGTACGGCGAGTTCGTCAAGGAGCGCTTCGAGCGCTGCCTCGACCTCTACCTCGCGCCCCGGGTCCGCAAGAACAGGCTCAACATCGACCCCAGCTCGCTGCTGCCCAAGCTGCCTCGCCCCGAGGAGCTGCGGCCGTTCCCGACCGTGTGCCAGACCATCTTCAAGGGCCACACCAGCCGCGTGCGCACCGTCGCCTTCAGCCCGGACGGCGAGTGGATCGCCTCGGGCAGCGACGACGGCACCGTCCGCGTCTGGGCGCTCAACGGCCACCAGGAATGGAGCGCCCAGCTCAGCTCGGCCGCCGAGCCGGAGCCCGTCAACATGGTGCGATGGCGGCCCAGCAAGGACACCTTCATCCTGGCCGCCGCCGCGGGCGAGGACCTCTTCTTCATCGCCCCGCCCATCGTCAGCGATGCCACCGAGCAGGCCAGCCGCGACGTCCTCGACGCCGGCTTTGGCTACGCGACCAACGGCTCCTCTGCCGCCGCCGCCGCCGCAACCACCGCCGACGGCGTCAAAAAGGAACCTCCCGCCAAGTGGTCCCGTCCCAGCGCGTCCCTCGTGGCCAAGGGCGTCCTCCTCAAGTTGGCCGTCCGCTCCGCCATCAAGACCATCAACTGGCACCGCCGCGGCGACTTCGTCTGCACCGTCTCCCCCACCGGCCAGCGCAGCTCCGTCGTCATCCACACGCTCTCCAAGCACCTCAGCCAGGTGCCCTTCCGCAAGCTGCCCGGCCTCGCCCAGACGGCCCAGTTCCACCCGTCGCGCCCCTACTTCTTCGTCGCCACCCAGCGCATGATCCGCTGCTACGACCTGCAGCGCCAGGAGCTCGTCAAGGTCATCCAGCCCGGCGCCCGCTGGATCTCCTCCATGGACATCCACCCGGGCGGCGACAACCTCATCGTCGGCTCCTACGACCGCCGCCTGCTCTGGCACGACCTCGACCTGTCCAACCGCCCCTACAAGACCATGCGCTTCCACCCCGAGGCCATCCGCGCCGTCAAGTTCCACCGCGGCCTGCCCCTCTTCGCCGACGCCAGCGACGACGGCTCTCTGCAAATCTTCCACGGCAAAGTCGTCGGCGACCTCATGGAGAACGCCACCATTGTCCCCGTCAAGATGCTCAGGGGCCACAAGGTCGACAAGAAGCTGGGCGTCATGGACGTCGACTGGCATCCAAAGCACCCCTGGATCGTCAGTGCCGGTGCCGATATGACGTGCAGACTATGGGCGTAAAGGAGGGGAAAGTGAAAGGGAATAATGGAGAATATCATCATTGTTTGTTATATAGTTTGGGTTGCAACGCGGTAATAAAAGTGCATAGATTTGCCATCATTTCTGAAAAAGGGGCTCATGTTTATCATGCTCGTTTATACTTGAATATAGTTACGGTGTAAAGTAAGAGCCAAACCATTGGACAAGTAATACGGCATGCTATACCACTTCATTTTATTATTACCATTATTCTCCAAGCCAGACGCGCCAGGTAGTCAGCAGAGAGACATTGACCATTCCTTCATCGTCACGCTCAGGACAAGAAGCAATCTTGCGGCAGATTCAAAACACATACGACCATAGGTAGAGAAGAATTCGGGGTCTCGTCTGCTCCCCCACAGACAAGTCTAACCGGCAGATTAGTAGTTGAGTGGGTGACCATCAGCGAACACCGGCTGTTGTATGTATTTTCTCCTTTTTGTTTGTTTTAACAAATAGTTATAAATCTTAGATACGGGAAACGCGGTGTTGGTTAGTCACCTCACTTTCATCAGGGCAGCCCATGTAAAAAATGTTGATCCTTTTTCATCTTAGAATCGAGTTGTCAATTGTCACTTGAGCAAACCCCCTTAAGCATCAAAAGAATGTAAACGATTCGTATTACCATAACATCAAAACTCAATTCCATTCATCATTGGCGGTCCTCAACCGCCTTTTGTTCCAATCCGATCCTCCCCCTAATTCATGTGAAAAAAAAATGATGAAAAAAAAGAGCAAGTTCCGTGCTATCTCTCTACATCGTACAGTTGACGAACCACTTCCTCTCTCGTCATCCCACCTTTCCTGGCCTCCCTCTCCAGCAAATGGAAACGTGCGTTCCTAAAGCGCTTTACAGCTCCTTTCGCAGCTTCTCGCCCTTCTTCTTAGCTTCAGCCTCCGCCTTGGCAGCCTCCTCTCTAGCGACTTCGCTACCAATGTGCAGCTGATCGGCGACCCATCTCCATGTGTCCCTGGCTGTTTCTCCGAGCTTAGCAAAGACAGTGCCTCCGGGAGAAGAGGATCCATATCTAAAGTAGGTAGATTGCTTGCGTGCCTCTGCTCGAAGCTCGTCAATCTTGGATCCCTGGGGAACAGGGACTCCGTAGCTGTCGAGATAGGATTTCAGCTCGCTCTCCGACCACGTGTCGAAGGCGTTGTGCTTAGCGGCAGCCGTCACAGAGGCCAGGTAGCTAGTGGCAGAGGCGTATTGGGCACCGCCAGCAGTTGAGGCAGATGAATAGGCAGATTGGGCAGCGCTAACAAGGTCCTCGCGAGTGGCGTCCTTCTTCTTGGCCGCGGCCTTTGCGGCGGCATTGCCGTTATTGATGAGGTAACTCTTCAGGTTGTCATAGCTGTAGTCATCAAAGTTCCACGCCTGCCAGCCAGTGGAGGCTTTGTGAGCGTGCTTTCGAACAAGAGCTCGGAGCTCATCAGACTTGCTGGCCTGGGGAACAGGGATACCGCGGGCATCAAGATAAGACTTGAGCCGGCTATCCGACCATTTGTTAACAGCTGAGTTGAAAGCATCCTGGGCGGCGAGCGAAGCGCTGTCGGTGGCCCTGGCATACTGATTCTGGGCGTTAGAGGTAGCAGCACCAAAGGCAGCCTTGGCGCTGGCACCAACAGTATCACCGAGAATATCAGCGCGGTGCTTTCGAACGAGTGCTCGAAGCTCATTGAGTTTGGTGCCTTGGGGAACGGGAATTCCATTCTTGTCGCAAAATTCCTTGAGCTGAGACTCACCCCAGGCCTCAATAATTGTGTCAGTGAGATATGTGTAGGTAGCCTGGATCTTGGCGGCAGCGCTATCAGCCTCGTTCTGGGCCCTCAGATAGGCAAGGCGAGAGTTGCGGCGAACCGAAGCAATCAGCTTGTCTCGGTTAGTCGGCTGAGGGGCAGGGAAACCGTGGGTGTCAAGCCACTCCTTCAGATCAGACGTGGACCAGGTAGAGTACAGCCAGTCGCCAGGATAGGCAGCAGTTTCACCGGTCTTTTGTGCAAGAGTTGAATACCCCTCGCGGGCCTTCTGAAGCAGAGTATCACGAGTACGCGGTTGAGGCACTACAAGTCGAAGGCAAGGTTAGCACATATCCATACTATCTCGGTGGTTATTGGTGATTGCATACCTGGAATGCCATTCTTGTCACAGAAAGACTTGAGCTGAGAATCGGTCCAGGTATCAAGAATCCAATCCTTGACACTGGCCCATGCTGAGTTGGCAGAGTCTTCGGTTTCATACCAGTTGGCCTTGACCTGGGAGATCAGGCTGTCCTTGTTCTTCTGAGCATCCTTGGCCGCATCACTGCCTTTGGCTTGCAGATATGCGCTTAGCTGAGAGGTATCCCAGCTGTTGTACGGCTCCACAACATAGTCGTTCCAGTTCTTGGAAACGAGACCCTCCAGATCCTTGCGGTCAGCCGGAGTCGGGTAGGGAATGTTCTGGTCGGAGAGCCATCGCTCAAGCTCCGTCTCGTGCCACTTGTTGTAGACTGCGTCACCTATTGTCAGCTCAGAGTCAGACGCAGATCCATCAACGCGATTAGGTCGTAAACAAAACTTACCAGTCTTGGAGCCGGGGAACCAGTTGCTGGCTGCAGCGCCCGACACGGCAAGCCCCACGATTAGGACGTCTCGAAGGCGCCACATGATGCAAAACAGTGAAACTTTAGGTGTCCACAATGTGTGATGAGTTTATTCGCAGCTCAACCGCACACGCGTTCTGTAGGCGTTGATATTCCGAGGGTTGGGAGGGTTATAGGTGTTGATCGTGTGTTGTCTCGAAGGGAAGAAGGAAGAGAGAAGAAAAGCAGAGAATGAATCGAGTTGGAAGAACAATGACGTTAATAAGAGGGTGAATGGTGGAATCTCAAGGTTCTGCCAGCTGTAAGAGCAAAAGATGAGGTAATGCCAGACACTTCCATCACGTCACTTCCATGACACCAAAGCTCCACGAAGGCACATTCACAAGCTTTTGGCAACCGCACGTACCGTCACCACGCGTGTACATGCCAATTGCGCTCCTTGTGGCTGCACAAACGTGTACTCAGCAGCACTCGATACATGCTGGACTCGCACTAAGCTTTCCCTGAATTGTCTGCTTGCAAGATCGAGGTTGAGATCGAGATAATCCGGGCCAGTTAGCGTCCAGGAGCTTGACTTTGATCGCGATCACAATGACGTAGTGATTGCTTGATGCGCAGTGTGGGGAAACAAAGACGGAAGCGACAAGGAGAAAACGGTCCGGGATCAGCTCCGCCAATGGTGTGTAACTGCTACCCTGGAACAAGGATGGGTTGGATGGGGATTCACAAACAGGTTGGAAGTGGTTGGTTTAAGGTTAAAAAGGATATTAATTGTTGGCTTTTTATGTAAGGGGACATGTCCAAATGATCATGTTGTGTTGTACATGAGATTGCACTTGTCTCAACACCATGAAACACTGTCGTGGTTTACAAAGCGGCCCCGTACCGGCGTCTCATTACAAAGGGTTTACTCTAAATCAGTGCTGAGCACATACGGAGTACTGCATTTAACACATGGAATCCGGCGTGAATGGTACTCGTCAATTGGTTTGGCAATACTCTATTCGCTTTGCTAAAGAGGCACCCGTCTCGAATCTACGGAGAACGGCACGCCTCTGCTAGGAATATCGTCACATGCTTCCTCCCAGGCTTTGACTTTTTGTCCCTCTATGCCAATTACCACGCCCTTGTCAGACGCCAGCCGCCCCAGAGCATCCTTGTGTGCAAGCACAGCACAGCACCACACATGCTTTACCATCCCATGATCCTCTGCCGCAAGTATGAAAAGTAGATTATGCGTAAAAGTTGACAGTCTGAAGCCACAAACATTAGTGAATTGCAACAATGAAATACCAACAGGAACTCTTGTCTTGTGACGGGGGGGGGGGGGGGGGGGGGGGGGAAAAAAAAAAAA